TCTCTTGGGGGTGTTGTGTTGCTTATCTGTTACACACATCTGGTCCTGGAAGCAAATGTCTGACTCCACATCTGCCGAGGCATTCCACCATTCACCAACGCTCATAACATCAGCTAGAATTTTGCCCAGAGAGTCCCCAAAATGTTGCAACTCTCTTTTATTTCCGTACATTTATTAGTTGTACTCCATGTGGGGTGTCAGTTGCACATTAGGAAATCTCACAATATAAATAAAGGTCCGGCACTGGTACGCTCTTCTCACATGGGGAAATAGTGCTCTTAAAATAAATACTTGGCAGTTCCGTTTGCACAGAAACTTGTTTAGCTAGTTTTGTACAGCCGTTGCCAGCTGCTGATGGGAATGCTTTGGAGTATTTCTCAAGCGAATGCATTTTGGTTTCAGGCATAATAAGCTTCCAAATGTTAATGTGTAGAAATGGCAATATAAGCAAGTGTTACTGGAAAGGAAATATATGGAATGAGATTATTGAAAAACCTCCAAGGAATTTTCAGGGAAGTTATTACTTGATAGTCAGTAGCTCTGTAACTTCTTCTTGAACTTCATTCAATTATTACTGCCTCCGCTGAATGAATAATAGTCTAAAGAGCTGCATTTGACACCTAAGATTTTTTTTTTTAGCTTCAGGGGGTAGCCGAGTTTGTCTGTACATTATAAACTTAAAAAACAAAAACTGGTCTGGTAGCACTTTATCTTTTGTAGTTATTCCCCAAATCACAAGAGGATATAGATCATGCTTCAAGTGTGGGTATTTAAAGATCTTTAGTACAGTATAAAGTGCCTGATTTTGGTCTCACTTACCCTGGGTTTTGTGCTTGTGTAATGCAACTGAGTTCAGTGGAGCTACTCCTGATTTATGCTGGTGTGAGAGGAGAACTGAATTGTGAGTTTCTGTTTATCTGTCTTGTCTTTTACACTGAAAGGTCTTAAGGGGCAAGGCCTGTCTGCTAGTGTATATTTGTAGAGCAGCTAGCCCAATGGGGCTGGGACTCCTAGATACCACAGTCATATAAATGATAATAATTATTTTGGTGTTATTAAGAAAAATATACAGTGACCTATGGAAGATCTCGATTGCTTAGGGATGAGTTGAATGGTGGCCTATTCAGATGGCTTACTAATGCTTTGGGATCAAATTCCGATTTGATGTGATCCATTGCCACTCCTTTGGGTCTGTTTGTGATCTGATTTACAAGAAGAGGGAAGAGGAAAAAGTACAGGTGCCCTGGTGGCCATTCTCTCCATAGCAATCACTACTTACTTGCGAGAGAGCATCCAGGAAGTCTGGATGCTCGCTTGCTCAAAAGCGTATCGCTTTTTTGATGTGCTTTTGCAGTGTGGATGCTCTCTTGCACAAGAAGTTTTTGCGGAAGATCTCTTCCTGGGTGTCTGGCTGGTGAGTCTTGCCCACATGCTCAGGGTTTAGCTGGTCGCCATATTTGGGGTCGGGAAGGAATTTTCCTCCAGGGTAGATTGGCAGAGGCCCTGGAGGTTTTTCGCCTTCCTCTGTAGCATGGGGTATAGATCACAGCTGGAGGGTTCTCTGCATCTTGGGGTCTTCAAAGTATTTGAAGGCTTCAATATCTGAGATATAGGTGAGAGGATTAATCTAGGAGGGGGTGGCTGAGATTCTGTAGCCTGCATCGTGCAGGGGGTCAGACTAGATGATCATAATGGTCCCTTCTGACCTTAAAGTCTATGAGTCTTCCAAAAAAAGCTTCTTGTACAAGAAGCTTGCAGTCTAGACGTAGCCCTGGTGAGTCTGTGTTTGCAGGATGTGGCCTCAAATGAACATGCCTTCCCACTAAATGAATAATAGTCCACATAACTGCATCTGACACCTAACTTTTTTTAATAGTTATTCCCCAAATCTTCAAGACGATATGGATCATGCTTCAAGTGTGGGTATTTAAAGATACTTTAAGGATTAAGATTGCAAATTAGGTCATGAATTAAAACAGTGATTCTGCAATTTAGGTCCTAATTTTTGCTATATTGATCATGTGTACATCTCCATGCACTCCCTTTGTGGATAGCAATGTCATCTTTCAGTGAGATGCACGTATATTTCTTCTTGTTGTTGTATATACTCTGTATTGAGTGTATCAAACTCCTCCTTTTGTCCTGCTGCCATTCTACCTTGAATGGTCTTTACAATATGTTTTTACTACCAATGATCAATAATCTATTCCATCTTGCATTGTTTGTTGTGATGCTTGGAGTAGCTTTCCCAGACCTGAAGAAGAGATTTGTGTTGCTTGAAAGCTTGTCTGTTTCTCTATCAGAAGTTGGTCCAATAAAAGATATTATCTTACCAATCTTATCCCTTTGCATTTCAATTTGGCAGCCCTAAAAACAAATGTTTAACATCAGGAAGCAGACGTCCTCTTGACTCTCTTACCATAACAAATCTGTTTGCAGAACGTCTTAGCATATTTCTGTTCCAGATAAAACCTGGACAGGAACTATTCGAATTCATAAAGAATTTGCGGTTTAGATCTACAGGTGGAATGGAGACCAAAATAAGAAACACTGACAAAACCATCATTTGCTAAATGACATTTTCCCCGGCTTAATTTATTTTTACAAATCATAAATCGTAAGTGTGCATTTTAGGTCATCTAAAAATTCCCGAGAATCCTTTTCAGATATAAGCTAGCCCTAGCTTGTGCCATGCTGAGTAACTTCAGCTTGTCGTGACTTTAATCAAAATTGCACTTTTTAGAATCACATTCTTAAACCCTAAATGTTACAAACTAGTGATACTGTACTCAGACTGCCAGCTGCAAATGGCTTATTAATGCGTCTCCTAGGGCTTTTGCCAGCACATGAATTATTAACCCCTTTAAGTTATTAACCAGTCAGGAGATTTTTACTATGTTATTAACTAATTCACTTATCAACTTGCACTAAGTTATTAACTTATTTGCTATGAGAATCTTATATACACATTAGGGATGTTAAAATACAGGTAATTGTGTAAATGTGTAACAGCTGAAAAACTCAGCAGTTATGCACGCTGCTTCTGGGGAGTTGGACTGCCTCCCAGGGATGGACGGACGGACACACACACACACTTTCCTTTGTCAGTTGTCAGACTGTTAAAATATGAACAGTATTATAGTAAAATGAAACAATGAAGTCATCCTACTTTGGCTCCTGACCTGAATCTCTGAGGTTTGAGGATCACTGTTTTAGACTCTTCTGATTATGCAAAAGAAATTGGTGCTAGTGAATCTTGGTTTCACAAGATTGCTACTTCTTTCTTTCTTTCTACTTTATATCCAGCAAGACATTCCAGTGTCTCCAAGTATCCATCCACTAGTGCTACACCTCCAGAGTTAGCTATATAGGTTGTCCACCCATCTGTACACAGATGTATTTTATGCATACTGCATGTACTTGGATACATGCTGATGATCTCTTCACATTATATTTTATGTCAGAAGTGCAATAACTAGAGGAAAGACAAGAAAACGGGTGAAAAGATATCCAAGAAATATCCACTGATTATGATCAATGTTGTAAGGGTTCTATCTCTTCAGATAAACCCAGGAAAGGCTGTGCAACATCTGTGTTTTAATAGTGCTCGTAAATTGTGGAAATTAGGGATTTTTTTGTGTTGGGTGGGTCATGTGGAATCCATTTTCCAGTCAATGCAGGGTCACTTACTGCAGACTATCCTTCTGTGATTTGTCTGGCTTAAGTTTTAGATGATTCACACAGTGAACGTCCCATCTTTTTCACTTGGGAAGCTGCTGCATTCTGGAGAAAATTGTCCCAGTGCTGCTGGCGCTAACCAGAAAAATGTGTTTATTATCAAATATCACTCCATTTCCAGTCTCATTTTCCTTCCAACATAGTAACCTGCCCCGCGGGTGATGGTTCTGCGTGTCTCACCCTTCCCATCTCCTCGTTTGAACTGGAGTCAGCAAATGTGAGCTGCAGAGAGCAAATGAGCTGTAATTGAGCGGCAGAGAGGTCAGCACTGAAGAGCCACTCTGTTGCCCGGAGCTGTACAGAGTCCCTCTCCTAAAACACGTGGTGTGTGGACACCTCCAGGAAATTCCCAGCTACACTGCACAGCGGGGGCGGCCTTCCAGCGAAGCCTGAGTTTCGACCAGAAATCCCCTCTCTCTTCGAGCTCCAGTCTCCTCGCTCGGCTCCGGGAGCCGAAGCAGAGTTTCAGAAAATACCCTCAGCCGCTGGCTCTCGGCCTGTCCTAATGCAGCCTTGCAAATGAACCCCCACCCCCGTGGAAAGGGACTGGGAAAGAAAGTCGGTCTGGGAGGGATTCCTGCCAAGCAGCGAGGGATCCTGGTGAGAAGGGGAGGTTACGAGCATGCTGACTGCTGCTCTGCAGCCCTGCGCCCCATATGGCAGGTGTGGGACCCGGGCGAGTTCCCGGGGGGATGGAACGTTGATCCGGGCGAACTCCCGGGGATATGGAACGTTGACCCGGGCGATTTCCCGGGGATATGGAACGTTGACCTGGGCGAGTTCCCGGGGATATGGAACGTTGACCAGGGCGAGTTCCCGGGGGAATGGAATGTTGGCCTAGGACTAGAACGGTGACCCAGGAGAGAAAGCTACAACGCCGTGCACCCCCCTTGCACCCACTGTCTGATTTCTCGGAAAAGAAAGGGCTTAGAAGAAAAGCGCTCCCTTTTGTCCTATTCTTATTGGCTAACCGGAGGCTTTCCGCCGCTGTCCATTGGCTGCCTGGCGTGGAGAAGGCGGGATATCGCAGACCCTCCCCCTGCTTTTTAATAAATGAGGAGAAGGGGTGGGGGAGTGCTTGCTTTCGCCCTTTCTGGCCTGCGATCGCGGTGTCCTAAGCCAGCCAGCCAGCTGCGCGCAGCCGCTGGGCACATCTGGGTGCAGCAACCGGGGCGCAAGTCGTTTCTACAGACCGCGAAAGGTATTTGCATTTCACTTCTTCCTTCTCCGAGCAGAGCATTCTGCAGTTGGTAATCAGGCAGGCTTCAGGTGGTGAGTTCGCCCAAGAGCTTGGCTAAGCCTTATCTCTTTTTAAAGGCATTGGCTAACGTTTGTATTTGCAAATGTAATCTGGCCCGCTTTGGCATTGATTTGAGGAGCTTTTTATTTGTCTGGAAGAGGAGCTTTGGAGGCTGCACGTTTTGCAGGTGAGCTTTCACTTTGGAGGTGCCTCACGCGGGCCATGCCTTATGATGCTATTTCATTTTCACCTAACTAAATGAAAGCAGGGCGTTCGCTCCAGGCAGGAATCAGAAATGACCATTACAAATGGGGAGCGTAAGGCACAGGACCCTAATTTATTAAAAACAACCCCCCTACTGTGTTGTTAATACATATTATCAGTGGTTCCTCACTGATGCTGTGGAGAAGGATAGTTGCTAATGTTTTCCATGTATGTTCTCTCTTATATTTAAAAAAAGTCATCTGAACTACATTTGGCTGAAACACTGGTGTCTGGGAGCATTTGCTAGCTTGTGTGAAGAATAGTGATAGAAATGTAGCCGTGTTAGTCTGGTGTAGCTTCCCCCGCACCCCTCTTCTGTTCTGAAATGTGATTTGTCCTTTTCATATGTGTTCATTTTTTTTAATTGTACCCTTTGGTATATATGGTTGTGACTATTTTCTTCCACTATTTGATCTGAGGAAGTGGGTCTGGCCCACGAAAGCTCATCATCTAATAAACCATCTTGTTAGTCTTCAAAGTGCTACATAGTCCTGTATTTTCTTCTAGCTTGTGTGGTAAGACAGGAAGTTTTGCCCTTGTCCAGCATAAAGTTCAGGCTGGAGGAAAAGCAATGCTAGGACAAGAAGCAGCAGGCTCAAATTGCAGCAAAGGGGGGTTAGGTTGGACGTTAGGAAAAACTTCTTGTTAGGGTGATTAAACACTGGAATAAGTTGCTTAGGGAGGTTGTGGAATCTCCATCCCTGGAGATATTTAAGAGCAGGTAAGACAAACTTGTGTCAGGGATGGTCTACATGGCACTTGGTCCTGCCATGAATGCTGAGGACTGGACTAGATGGGACTTCTTGAGGTTTCTTCCAGTCCTAGTATTCTAAAGCTCTCTGTTAACTTAAAGCATTTAATTGGTTAACTAATTAAAGGAATAACTGGCAGGGGGAGGGGAAGGTGGATGGATACTGGGTTAGATGGACTGTTGGTTTGATCCAGTATGGCCTTTCTTGTGTTCTTTTGATCGCTGTCTTATTGTCTCCTGTTCTCTAAGCAGTACACGAAAGCCTTCATATTCTAAGTGTACTATTATGAACCCCACTGGAACACAAAATAGGAACATTTAGGTTAGATGCTGATTGTGTGTGGGGTCTATTCTGCACATCTTCTAGTTAGACAGAACTCTTGGTAACTTTAAACTTGGACTGAATAAATAGTGAGCAAGTAGTGTTAGCAGCCCTTGGCCCAAAACCATATTAAAGATGAGCAAATGGAGCAGATTTCTTCTTTCTTCAGTGAGACTATAGGTATGGTGGCCACTTTTTGGCTCTGGGATAATAAAGCCAGAGCACTGTGGTGTTCAAGATTTGGGCTAAATGACACAGGAATGGCATTGCCTTTTGAACATGTGTGCACGCAGTCTTTGGATATTCCTTGCAAAATGGAGCTAATCAGTCTGTGGCTGGAAATGCCCCTAGCCCAGTTCTGTTAAATTCCATCTAACTGTTACAACATTTGTACTCAAAATACCAGTCATTCAGAGTTTGCATGATGTGGAAGCCAAGCCAAGGTGCCACGGAATCTGAGATACTATGGAGTATAACGTTTATAAACAATGAGTTGCATTAAAGGAGAGTTATTACTTTTAACTGGGTATTTCCCTGATGGTGTTGGTTAAATTGGACCGTAGTTTACTTAAGCAAAAAGTCACTTGGCACCTTGTCACATTAGTACCATTGGTCTCTAATAAAAATGTACAAAAGGCCATTTGAAGCACTAACAGTTTATTTTCAAATAGAAGAATTTGCCTAAATATCACTAATTCAGAGATGGAAGAAAATTGAGTACATATCTCTTTGATAGTTGATGTGGTTTGTCTTTAATGTTACTATGGATCCTCTTTCCGAGGAACAAGCCAACAAACCATAATTTAGGTGGTCTTGGACTTTGCTGCGAACTTCCTAACGATGAAACTGTTTAGGGCCTGCTGCAAAACAGGAATTGGAATGGGTTGGAAAAAAAAGCCATTTCTTTTGGACACTAACTTTGCATCTAAAAGGGGAAGCAACACTGAAACCTGACCAGTTGTTTGAGCCGTTGTGCTGTTAAGGCTGCATCTATCTCTGGTGTGGTGCAGACGCCAGGGAGGAAAATGCTGGTAGACTCGCTAAATCATGATCTGCAGCTCCTCTTCAAAAAGAAACTTGAGATGCCTACAGGATTAAAACTTGTGTCCGACAGGATTAAACACACCTTTAAACAACTGGAAAAAATGAGTCGTTGAAATCAGGAAGCATGGTGGGTGGGGGAAGTTAGAGGAAGGGTTAGGATAATTCACATCACATATTTATTTCTGGCAATGAAGTCCCTGGGGCCTCCCACCTCTAGGAGATGTTACACAATGTGATATCATCAAAAAGAACCAGCCAGATAGTGCAAACATTGGTTTGGATGATCATTCTCTGAACCTGCTGTCTGACGGTGGTTCCCCCTTAAGTATGCAAGTCCTTTGTAGTCAGTAGCATGCAGCTGCAAAATTAAGACCATGCTTCCATTGATATTGTCATGGCTTTGAATCTGTTCCCTGAATTTTTGCACAGTGTCCCGAGCGTGAGGACTTGGCCAATGGAATAACCTGTTGCTCAGAGCGACGAGGCACCTTATAGACTAACAGATTTATTGGAGCTTAAGCTTTCGTGGGCAAAGACTCACTTCGTCAGATGCATGTAGTGGAAATTCCTGACAAAGCTTTTGCCCATGAAAGCTTATGCTCCAATAAATCTGTAGGTCTTATAAGGTGCCACAGGACTCCTCGTCGCTTTTGAAGATTCAGACCAACACGGCTACCCCTCTGACACGTGTTGCTCAGAGGTGCTGGAACAATTTGTATAGTGGGGAAGCTGAGAACCATTGAACCAAACTATTACCCCCTGTATATAATGGAAACTACTTTTGGACAGGCGATGCTGCACTCGTAGTTCCACCTATGAAGGAACCTGGTCCACAAAACCCATCTAAAACCCATGTCTGGAAGGTAGATTATCCATGTATAAAGCGGGGACAGAGTTCCTTGGAACAGCATTCACAATTCCTGTTGATTTCAGTTGTGGGCTACTATGGAACACAATTCTTGTTAAACTCGGTTGGGTATGTGTATACAGGTGCTCACTACCAGCATGCCAATGCCCTGCTTGCTTAATGCTTTAAAATTACCCCCCTCCCCTTCATTTTGTGTTGTGCAAAAATTGCTTGGGAAACTGAAGTAATGTAACCACCTGTTCTCTTGCAACTAAGGCCCCGATCCTGCAGGACTTGCTCACGAGTCATCTCGCTGAAAGCGACAGTGCTAATTGTCTGCGAAAGGATTAGGTCCTAAAACCTAGCCAAATGGATATAAAGCCAAAGTGGAATAAAATTAGATGGAGGCAGAAAACTCCGGCTCTTTCAGCATGATGCAGATTAAGACGGCTGAGCTATAACAAGAGGCACAGTGACTAGGGGAAATTCTTGGTTTCTAACTGTAGTGATACTGAATGCACTATAATTAGATGATGCTCTGAAATGCTAACTGCATTTTATTCTAGTTCATTTGTGTATGCGCTAATAGCTTAGTCCTGCATTTCTTGCTCAGCCCACATACCAGTGATAGGTAGTAATGTTGGGTGGGGAGCAAGAACAGAAACCTCGTATTCCAAGAAATGCCAACCATTAGAGCATAGCGATTTACTACATAGACTTTAATGCAAACTCGGTGGGCTTTATTCTCTCACACAAGGTTAGAGCAGGAATAGTAACTGGCGCTTCACTGGATGTAAGTGGCCGTAGCATCAGGACCCATAATCTCTAGTTCTGGTAGGCCATAGGTTCCCAAACTGGGGGCGTGCCCCCCGGGGCGGGGGGGAGGGGGAACTGAAGAAATTCTAGGGGGGGGTGAGGTGACCGAAACTCTCCCTCCTCCCCTGCCCATCAATTGCCCCTCAAGAAAGTCTGGTCCATGCAGCTCAGGCTGGCTGTGGCGGGGGGAGGATGGAGTGTCCCGGAAAGACTTCAAAAGGGCAATGCCTGCTCTGCTCTTAAAGGGGCACTTTTTTTTTTCCTCAACAAGTTTTGCTGCTATATTTTTTGGGGCATGAGAGGGTTTCTCAAAAATCAAAAAGGGGGTGTGATGCCAAAAATTTTGGGAACCACTGTGGTAGGCAATCCAAACATGTAATTTGTAAGATCTGCCTCTGGGGAAAGCAGATGTTGCTCCATTTAAGTCAGTGGAATTGCATCAACTTACACCAACTCAGGATCTGGCAGATTGAAGAAATTGTAATAATCCAAGGGAACCAACCAATACAGTGTGTGTGTGTTTTGTTGTTGTTGCTTGTTACTGTGGCTACACTGATTCAAATGAGGCTTCTTTTCTGTAGTGTCCTGAGAGTTTCAATCCGTTCGTTGGGTAGCTTTCATCTTGATTAGCTTCCTAATAGGCAGTCATCCAACACAGAGACACATTTCCCACATCAGAAATAACGGGGAAGTCGTCTCGAACACTGAAACGTTGTCAAGACAAGTGTTGTGTTGGCTTGACAGGTGCTCAGCCCTATCTGGTATTTCCAGCTGTTGTGGTTCTTGTGATGGGCAGCTGAATTATAAAGAAGATGCTGTTGTATAAAGCAGCCTTTTCATGGCATCCGCCAAGGCCTGTTTCACTGGGGTAGAGTCAGAAATAACGGGGAAGTCGTCTCGAACACTGAAACGTTGTCAAGACAAGTGTTGTGTTGGCTTGACAGGTGCTCAGCCCTATCTGGTATTTCCAGCTGTTGTGGTTCTTGTGATGGGCAGCTGAATTATAAAGAAGATGCTGTTGTATAAAGCAGCCTTTTCATGGCATCCGCCAAGGCCTGTTTCACTGGGGTAGAGTGGGGGGGGGGGGGGAGGGGGGGAGAGAAGGAAGGATGCTCTATGCAGGTGGGATAGGAAGTTATTTTCCAAGAGGGACACTGCCATGGAAGTATTGAACAGATCTGATTCACTCTGGCTAAAAATGTTCCTTCTCGGAAATGTCTGTTCTATTAATTTCTGTGCGTTCTCCTTTCCCCAATTTATAAACAGATGCAGACTAGGGATGTCAAAAAGCGGTTAACTAGGTGACCAGGTAACAGTTAAGTCTTAGTGGTTCCACGTGCTGAGTGCTGCAGTATAAAGCTTTTACTGCAGAGCCTGCAATGTAGTCCGCTCCCTAGGAGGGGCATGAGGATCAGCAACTGGTATAAGCTTTATACTGCAGGGCCGGGCAGCAGCTGGGTCCGTAGGAGCCACTGTGTGCTGGAAGCGTGCAGCTCTGCTCCTGGGGAGCTGGCTACTGCCCCATGCTTCCGGCTCTGATATGGAAACAGCAGCCCGGGGTGGCAGTTGGCTCCCAGGAACGGCGCTGGGAGCTGGTGTGTAACCATTACAGTAACCAATAAGCTCATGCTTATGATTAACCATTTAAACAGTTGCACTATTACATCCCTAATGCAGGTCAAGCCGCTGGATGGTTTCCACTGAAATTGGTGTCGAGTATCAGAGGGGTATCCGTGTTAGTCTGAATCTGCAAAAGTGGCAAGGAGTCCTGTGGCACCTTCTAAACTAACCGAAGTATTGGAGCATAAGCTTTCGTGGGCAAAGACCCACTTCGTCAGATGCATGTAGTGGAAATTTCCAGGGGCAGGTATAAATATGCAGGCCAGAATCAGGCTAGAGATGACGAGGTGCAGGTCAGAGCTCCTATTGTGCTGGGGGCTGTACAAACCCAGAACACAAAGCTAGTCCCAAAGAGCCTTAAAAGCAGGTTTCAATCCACCGTGTGAACAGTGGGACAGCAATGGCTGGTGGTGTGAGCGGGGGAGTTCATGAGTCTAGTCATGATTTGACACCCATTCTCACTATGATCTGGGCAAGTCACTTAACCTCTTACGGGGTCTCAGTTTTTTGATTTGTAAAATGGGGATAATAAGAGTGAGCTTTGAGATCCTTGAATGGTACTTACTATATAAACATGACTCCTTACTACTAATAGTCCTTTATAAGGGTCTGTCTTTCACAGAGCATTGGGGTATTTAATAGTTTTGGCACTGGTTGTGTGTACACAATAATTTGAACATTTTGACATCACTGTGTATTGTCTGTTAAGTACTGAGCATGTGAAAGACAGAAAAGAAACTGGCCCTGGCCAATAGTGCTTCTAGTTTAACCCCCCTCTGATTGTTGCTGACTCCTGATTTTTGTGAACTGCACAGAACTTTGTGACCAGTGACACTTGGTTTCTGTGTGGGGTTGTTTGGAGGCATTTAACGGATCCTACGAATTTTACTTGCAGGATGTGTGACCGGAACGGTGGGAGACGCCTCAGGCAATGGCTGATTGAACAGATTGACAGTGGGATGTACCCAGGTCTGATCTGGGAAAATGAAGAGAAAAGCATGTTCCGTATCCCATGGAAACATGCTGGGAAACAGGATTACAACCAGGAGGTGGATGCTTCCATCTTCAAGGTAGGAAAGACCGTACATTTTGTTTAACATGGCTCGTGCACCGTGACGTAGTCTTCCATTGCAAGCCTATTGGGCACCCCCCCCTTCCTGCCTGAGCAACATTACCCTGGCTCTGATTCTCGAGGCTTTGGAGTGGCCAAGTGCCCTTCACTCCCACTGACTTTGCAGAAAGTGCTCAGCCTGCTCCTATTTTTGGCAGCAGAACAGCTTTCCACCCTTGCATGATTTTTCTTTTTTCAGTGAGAATTGCCTAGAGCTGCAATCCTCTTAAAATGAAGTAAACCGGACATTAATAGTACATCTCCTCCCTGTTCCTAAGGGCACGCCTGCATAGCAGCGTTATTTCAGAGTAACCGACTATATTCCAAAATAACACAGTGCATGTCTACACCAGTGTTTCTCAACCTTTTTTTTTTTTTTTTAAAAGTACCCCTTTTTTAAAAAAAAAAAAAAAAAAAAGGATCCCCGGTATCTAGTTTTCAGATACACACAATTTTTTTTTCTACCATTGCAACACATTTGTTTAAACAACTTAATTGTGGGCGGGTGATGAAATTGTTGGGTGTAAAAAGTACAAAAATAATAAAGCACCATAAAACTTAAAACAAAATTCGGTTTTCTCCAAATTTCAGTTGTGTTGACGTACCCCCTCCTCCCCAGACTTCTCTCAAGTACCCCTAAGGGTACTCGTCCCACTACTTGAGAAACAGTGGTCTATACTACAAGCTTTTATTTCAAAATAATGGCGAGCTGGAGAGATTCTTACTCCGACTCCTGGTAACTCTGGTTCCACGAGGAGTAAGGGAAGTCGGAGGAAGAGTGCTTTTCCTTCTACTTCCTGCTGTGTAGACTGCACCAAAAGCTAAAATAAGCTATTTCGACTTCAGTTATACATAAGTTGCGTAACTTAATTTGACTTCAGCCCTGCTGAGCATCCATGAAAATTGTTTTCTGATGGAAAATTGGGATTTGCTACGATCTGCTTCTGTTCGGAGATGAAATCACCTACAGCTTGGTGGCTCCCGACCATAGGCCAGATCTGGCTCAGACCCATCAGCGTAGGACTGCTGAATGCACTGAGAGTGCACCCATGTAAGGTACAGGAGCCAGTGAATTAGGGCCTCCAACTTTTCAGGAGGAGTTCAACTCAGAGCTCTAAGATACTGATTTGGATGACAGTGGTGGTACTAGCAAATCTTTTTCTGGTTTTTATTCTGAGTAGATACCATAGACATTTATTTATAAACAAGGTTACAGCCCCCATCCTGCAGACGCTTGTGGATATGGACAGCTGTATTTGCTGCCTAAGGTCCCATTGATTTCAGTCAAGTCTCGGCAAAACCAAAGCCTAAAGGAATATTTTTATGGCACTACAAAACTGTTCCAAAGGGATCAAACCTGCTAATCTAAATTGGAAAACAATATTAAGAGGTGCCCGTTATATTGAGACACCATGCTGATAAGCTGTTTCAAATGTCCCTAAATAGAAGTTTTCACTATACTGTAACCATAATATGCTAGCTCTTCTAAGGGTCAGTAGATCTCAAAGTGGTTCATAAAGGAAGCCGGTATCAATAGCCCTATTGCACAGATGGGGAAATTGAGGCACAGAGCAGGGAAGTGACTGTCCAAGGTTACCCAGCAGGCCAGGGGCCAGGCAGAGAATTGAAACCACGTCTCCTGAGTCTTACTTCTGGGCTGTATCAGCTTGGCAATAAGGATGTTAAATTGCATTTTATCGACTAATTGAGTTGTCGATGGAATTTCATCGACTACTCGATTACTCTATAATGGGGACGTCGGAGACTACAGACTGGCAGCGGGGTTAGCTCCAAGCCCTGGGAGCTAACCCTGCTGCGGCTCTGCCTTTTAAGTGTATTAAGAGCTGCCAGGCTCTTAATACATTTAAAAGGGGGACCGTGTGAGAGCCGGGAATCAGCTGTCCTGGCTCACGCCCGGTTCCCCTTCCCCCCACGGAGATGGTACTGGGGGGGAAACTGGCTTTTCCTGCCCCTCACCCTTTGCTACCTCTCTGTGATAGAGGCAGTAAGGGAGGGAAAGCGACTAGTTGCTTACATCCCTACTTGGCAACACTGCCTCCCCTGCAGTGACATTGAAGCCTTGAGGGATAGCTAAGCACTTAATAGAGTGGTTTCCAAGAATGAATGCACGGCTGGGCATCTGCTATGCGTCAGCAATTAAAAAAACCCAAAGTGATTGCTATTATGCTGAGCTCAGCACAGTTCTGTTGATTGCAAATGTGTCTTTTTGGCAATCAGACCTTCTATTGAGTGCACAGAAGACTGGTTAGTGTAGTTTAGGCTTGGGACACACCTATTTAGGAGTGCGAAGCCTAGGACTCTTCCCCCGCCTCTCACTCGCCTTCCCCTCATGATGAGGGCACTTAGCCTTATAAGTTTAGACAGTGGCAAATGGTGAGTCCCCTTTTGTGCAAAATTCTGGAAAAAAAAGTGTTATGTTATGGGCAAGGTGGTCCTCTATGGAATGGTCAGGGGGATGGAGCAGGCTCCTGCATTAGGAAGGCAGGATACAGGATACCCTGAAGATAAGGAGGTGAGGTAGGGGTGCATCTAGGAGTGGACTAGGGGATAGAAAATTTGCCTGGAGAGGGCAGGGTTGTGGGTTTAAGCCCCCCATGTCCCAGGCACCATGAGGGAGCCAACAATCATGCGAGACCGTATCAAATGCCTTACTAAAGTCTAGGTATATGACATCCACCGCTTCTCCCTTATCCACAAGGCTCGTTATCTTATCAAAGAAAAAGTTCACCCTCTCTACTATGAAATCCATCTCAGAACTGTACCCATAATTGTATGTATGCAGAAAATGGTTGCCATTCATAGTGGATGTGTTCCTGCACCATGGGAGCCAGCACAGGAGCAGCCAACAGCAATCGATGACCATGTGGAAGGTTGGGCAGATGAATCAGCCCTGCTACAGCAGCTCCCACCAGGGGTACGTCTACACTACATGCCTCTGTCGGCAGAGGCATGTAGATTTGTTTGTTCAGAAAAGATAAATGAAGCCGCGATTTAAATGATCGCGGCTTCATTTACATTTACATGGCTGCCGCGCTGAGCAAACAAACAGCTGATCAGCTGTTTGTTGGCTCAGCGCACTAGTCTGGACGCTCCTCTGTCGACATGAAAGCCCTTTATCGACCTCCCCGTTATGCCTCGTAGGATGAGGTTTACAACGGGGAGGTTGATAAAGGGCTTTCAGGTCGGTGTGGGAGCGTCCAGACTGATCAGCTGTTTGTTGGCTCAGCGCGGCAGCCATTTAAATTTAAATGAAGCCGCGATTATTTAAATCGTGGCTTCATTTCCCTTTGCCGATCAGCCTAATCTAAATGGCTCCATCGATGGAGCCATGTAGTTTAGACACACCCCAGCTGTCCCCAGGATGCAGCTGGCTCCCTCACCAGGAAGGCATGTCATCCATCTTGGCCTGTGGTCAGATTTGGAGGCAAGAGGTGTGGGGTGGCTTTTTTTTTTTTTTTTAAACTTGATAGAAACCTGCTACAGCTTCCTTCTTTGTAAAATCTGACTCTCAAGTTCACTGATGTCCTGGGCCAGGTTCTCCCATGCTCTGTGCCTTGAGTGCTCATTCCCACATGGGCAAAGTGACTGTAGAATGCTCTTCTGGGCATGAACCAACTCCGAGGGGGGAAGCGTTTTGCATGGGTTTAAACGATGGGCACAGAAGCTGCGGTGCCCTGGAGAATGGGGCACTTTGTGACTCAGCATGAAGGATGGTAGTTGGGGCTTTCACCTAGGAGATGCGGCTTCAGTTCCCACCTCTGACATGCTTACCCAAGCACATCCAAGCAGTGCAGCTCCCCGCCTCAGTTTCCCATCGGTGAGAATGGTACAGCAGCCCTTCTCTACCTAACAGCCGTGTGGTAGCGGAGGACAAACCCCATGAAAGTTGTGAGGAGCTCAGACGTTGCAGTGACCGAGACCAGGCCACAGAGGTGGCTAGATCTGTGGTGGAAGTCACGGGGAACTTCTCTGACTGAGACCCTGACGAAATGACCTTCAACCAATGGTGAAATTTGGCCCCGAAGCTATAAACTTGGGCTTCCGATTTTAGCTTTTCACTAATGCGAAAGGCCATAAAATTGGCCTTTAGCCAGTAACACGCTGGACACGGTGACTTAGATTGAAGGACTTGTCTTCACGAAGCAGCAACGTGGACGATTGGTCCAGCGCATGAGAGCGTTGCGCATGTATTGCTCCGTGTAGACCCTGAGGGGGCTTGCTAAAGATTCCCTAGTGTGCTTTAACGTGGCGCTGTTTGGAATGGTTCAACATTAAGGCACCACCTAGGAACATGACCAAGAAATGACTCAGTGCTGTATAGGCAGGACCCCGAATCCCCTGGATTTTGTGGCATTGGCCTAAATCTTCAAAACCTGCTAAAACTAAACCCCGAGAAAAGAAATGAATAAACCCCCTAAGCCAGAAGCTCGTATTATAAGCTGGTTCTTCAACTCTGGGGCACTTTACTCTTTTGTCCTAGGCTTGGGCAGTTTTCAAAGGGAAATTTAAGGAAGGTGACAAAGCCGAGCCAGCCACTTGGAAGACGAGGCTGCGTTGTGCTCTGAATAAGAGCCCGGACTTCGAGGAGGTGACGGACAGGTCCCAGCTGGACATCTCTGAGCCGTACAAAGTGTACAGGATCGTCCCGGAGGAAGAGCAGAAATGTAAGTGTCCCGATAAACGGAGAGACTCGTTCAACGGCCACCTACGTCTGGAGCACGGGAGGGATTTGTAGGAGAAGAGAGGTTGTGTCCAGTGGTGCAGGTGCAGATCCGCCAGTAGCCCGTGCCATCAAGATCTTGTTCTTTCTTCCTGGGGAAAGGAGAGCAAACGCTCCTCAGCCCCTGCTGGCAGGATCTGGTGAAAACTCCATGTGGAAAGTTTGGCATTTACCCTCCTTCCCATGGCCTCATCCCACAGCTGTTCGAGTAGGAGACACGATTCCCTGAGTAAAACACCAAACAGGGCGTGCTGCCTGTAACATTAATTGACAATACTCTATGGCAGTCTGGCTCAGAAGGTCTGATCCTGTCCCCGTTTACATCAGCACCAATCTAGTGTGACTCCACTTAAGTCAGGGATGTTCTTTCGGGGTCACTCTGGGTATGTCTACACTACCCCGCTAGTTCGAACTAGCGGGGTAATGTATGCATACCGAACGTGCAAATGAAGCCCGGGATTTGAATTTCCCGGGCTTCATTTGCATAAGCGGGGAGCCGCCATTTTTAAATCCCCGCTGGTTCGATTTACGTGTAGCGCGGCTACACGGGGCTCGAACTAGGTAGTTCAGACTAGGTTCCTATTCCGAACTACCGGTGTACCGGTAGTTTAAATCGAACCAGCGGGGATTTAAAAATGGCGGCTCCCCGCTTATGCAAATGAAGCCCGGGAAATTCAAATCCCGGGCTTCATTTGCACGTTCGGTATGCATACATTACCCCGCTAGTTCGAACTAGCGGGGTAGTGTAGACATACCCTCTGGGCTGAGATTGGAATCAGCCCTGATGTTTAGTTGTGGTTTTGGCCTTAAATTCAGTCCTGATGCCCCCTTCTAATCGGTTTCAATCTGTACACGTGCTGTGGGAAATAGAATAAAACTTTTCGCAGGGC